TCTATATTGGCATTTCTTTTGCTCACGATGGTCGAACCAATTGGTCTAAGCCGCAAAAGCTGCGCAGCAGAGCGTCTATGTCCTTCTGGAAACCCTCAAAGCTACCAAAAGTACAGCCGATGCTTTAATAGGACTGGGTCAATCAGAACCTAACAGTCTCGGTTGGAAATCTGGAGCAACGGAGATGCATGCGTTTGATTCTAGGACTCTCAAACATGTATTAAACACTCGGCCAATAATATGCACGAAACGGACTGAGATCGTCTTGGTTTCTTTGGGGGCATATAAATGCGAATATTGACAGCACAACTGCACACTTTTGACAATGCCATACATACGAGATGGAAAAATCTGCGTCGTATGTCAAGTTCGAAGCTCTTGGCATTGATACGGTCGGTTGACAGATTCTCTACACTAGACTCACTGTGTTTCTCTCCTCAAAAAGCATCCCCGATGAAGAGTCTTGGCTATAGAAAACGAAATAATGTTGGCAGTTGTTGCGATTTAGGACAGGTGACTGGCACTCCACCTCCGTACGGGCTATCATGGTTGCCTCTGTCCAGCTAATTGCGTTCCCAGCCCCATGTTTGATTTTAAACAGCTGTCAATCCCTCAAGAGACAAGTTCGTGTTCTCAACATAGAAGTACCAGATGAAACCCACAACCATCATACCTCGAAAAGCTTCAAGTAATAATAATCCCGTGGGGTATATATAAAGTATAAGAGATAAAGTATGGCAAATAAATAGCATGGCAAATAAATAACATGTACTAAATAAACCTTCATGACCTTCATTCTTCTTCTTTCTACAGCCATCTTTCTCTGTCGCGTCCCCTGTCTTCAAGAATCTATATAGCACTTTGACAATCACTCCACGATTATTGTAGCAAAGATTGTGTTATTGAAGAAGCTACCTAAGAGAACTAACAGAGGTATAGAGGTAATAATAAGCTAGAATCCTTGCTCCCCCCACACGTGTTTTGAGATCCGTCCCAACCGATCAGGTGATAGTTCAATATTGTGTTCAGGCGGGACTGGTTGACGACAAAACAATTCTTCAAACCCAATGGTCAAAGGTACTGCTGGCCTGATGGTGTTTTGCGTCGCGGGATGCCGTAATGGTCTGCCGTATCTTTGGGACGTAGCGGGGTCGCTGTAGTCGTAAGGAGTTGACGGTCGGGTCTAAAGCAACAGTCTCAAACTTGATGTTGGGGGTCTTTCGACTGATGGACACGATAATTATAAGCTTCACATCGCCCCTCGAGTTCGTGAGCCACCATTCTGCATCTGCCCGCAGCTTTCGATATGACTCTGATACTCCCACTTCGACCACAACGGCCGGCCATTTTGGATTGCGACCTGGAACTGGTTGCGTAGGGCCATACGCCGCGTCGGCCTCCTTTCTGCAAAACACACCTTGGATGGTTTTGGACCCTAACGGGCGGATCGACTCGTCTAGCCCCATATTGTATATCTCATTTTGCACTGCACCACCTAGGCCGCGTGAAGCTGTTTCATGGGCCCCAGTTAAGAGCTTGATGATCATATATCGAGTGCTGCGATTAAACATCTGCCGAGTATTACGCAGAGAAAACTTGTCCGCAATAGCTAGTGGGACGTTTGTGAAACGTATATATTTCACCACGTCGGTTGTTTCTTTGTTTTCTCTGATAATCTTCCGGATGGCACTCTCCGTCGACCCGATGACTTCGACTGTGTCGTCGGGCAGCGCCTCGAAGCACTCGACGTCTGAGTGCTCGACTTCTGGGGAGTCCGAGTTATCAGACATTTCTGAATGTCTGGTCTTTGAGGCCAACATAAGGTTTTCCGAAAGGGAATTCACGAGGATAGAAGGTGCAGACATTCCGGCGTCGGAAACTTATATGGTCTTAGTAAGTTTCGGATAAGGTTTGGAGTAATGAGTCATCCTTACCTTGTCAATCGGATGAAACTTTAGAATAATCGGCACACTGTGCCAGTTGGCAAGAGACAGTGGCGGTAGCAATGGTTCTCGTCCTCGTTGACAATGAAGAGATGGGAGGGAAGGGATAAGAGAAGAAGAAAGAAGAGAGAAGGGTAGGGGAGAACATAAGGGAAAGAGAGGTCTGATGAGGAAGGTGCCTAGACATTTCCTGCCTAGTGAAATAAGGAAGGAGCAGAGGGGACTCTAGGAGATACCGCTTCTAAGAGATGCTACTCCTTAGTACAACATATAATCTGATTCATTTAGCTTAAGATGATATAAGGGCATGACTGTAAGGTGAATATACGCCAACGACACAAAATGTCCACCGACAAGCGCTTGATATAGCAAATTATTTAAATAGCACTTAGGTTCAGACGTCGACATACCCGGACAACACATCGTAAAAGTGTGCCAAAAGAAATAAACATAAGCAAATTAACCCCCAACTCCATATCACCAAGAAATAAGACTTGAATCCCTCCTAAGGAGCACCACCAAGACCTAGAATATTCGTTAGCTTCCGTAAAGACATCATACTCAACCCAAGAGACTCACTATAAACAAATGCCAGGTACCAAGTACGCATAGCCCCGCCATCAATCCAGCTGTAGTCGAAGTTTGGCTGGGCGAAAAATTCCCACGCCGATTCGTGGAGCTTAAAGGAAGCCTGGCCCAAAAAGCTAGACATGCCATCTTCTCAAAGTATTTATAAATTACCTATCTAGTGTCCGGTGCACACAAACGGTTTTATTTGGATTGATCGAACGGTGGCATATTAGGACTGGAGGACCAAGCTCTGCTTCTGTCACTTACTTGATGTGCTTTTTGCTACCGTATGGATTTTGAAGCCCTCCCTAAATTCTAGCTTGAAATCTAAGGGCTCCGTAGAAAAAGCCTGACACCCACATGATATGACGCCTAAACTTCTATGATCGATCGCCCAGTGAATCGACGGGGTTTCTCCAAAGTCGATGCCACCGAAAAGGCTCTTTCTGAAGATAATGTTGAATTCTCGAGACGCAAGACGTAGGTTTTGAAGGTCTTTCTTACCGAGAGTATTGCCAATCCACAGAAGGGTTTCCAGTGGAAGTCCTAAAAGCAGCATCTTCGCAGAGCCGATGAACTTGGGGTATTGTCACACGATTGGTCTAAGAGGTTGATAATGAAAAGAGACTCCAAAGTAATGAGATTGAAAATTCGTGGCATATATTTTGGAAAGAGGGGTCGCTCTCTGAAATACTCAGCTGCCAATGGGCTTCAAATTGCCGGCATCTTAAATCCGAGCCACCCTGCTCCTAGGAACCCTACTTTTTGTCCCAGGATCAAGAGGTGGGTACAAGAGCATGTGATAACTCACAGGCCGCTAGGGAAAGAAACGTGGATAGACAATAAAGTCGAGCAAGTCATGTTTTTCATAGCGTGATGAACAGTCTATGTATTCTCTGGTCCGGGTTCTAGAGTATAGCCCCACCTACAAGTAGACATCCAGGGGCTCCTGGGAACGATGCGGCCGCTCCTGGGGCAGGAAGCTGGTCTCTAGGAGTACTCAGGGAGGTTCCTGGGTGCCAATAGGTTCCTGGGAGCGCATGTTGCTCACTTGGGAGTGCATATCAAAAATAAGGGCAGTAGCAATACTATCAACGAACTAACTATCATAGTATAAACTGCCCTATAGGGGCTAATCCTTTCTAGGTATAGTCTACGGCGGGCTAAGTACGTCAGTGTTGCTCACTGATTAGACTCAAGCGTATTCATCCATGAGTGACTAGGTACCAAGGCAGTAATCAGAGGGCATCCAATGAGCACTCACTGAGCATCAGTCATTCTACACGTGACTGATCTGAGCCTGATCACTGATCTAAGCCCTTGCTGACATCTACTCAGTGAGCCTGAGTCTGGGCACCCTCATAAAAGCGGCCGCAGCTCAAATAGGAAAGTCCCACCCGCCAGGGAAAATCCGGTACGTATAGGCACATATATAGGTTGGACAGGCCAGGGGTCAACCTTATGAAACTTGGACCTGAAATCATTTACCTTAGTACTTACATAGTACATATGTGACACCAGAGGTTCAGCTTTTGCATAGAATAATTGGATATTTATAGTTCCCTGTTTACTATTGTTACCCTAGGTAGAGGGAGTTGATTCTAGGTAGTACTATGTCTTAAAAAAGGCAAAATGACGTAGTTCCAACTTTTAGTATGTACCACCCAACTTTTACTTCTTCGCCTGTTTTATTTTATTATGACTTTGGCGTTGAATGGGGAAATGCCCGACTTTGTTGACCGTTGCTTTAGTAACCCCCCGAGCCTACGTAGTACTGGTACGTCAGAGGCTGGCTAGGACGCGGTCTGATGTGGTATTCATATGCGATTGAGATTGTTTCGAATCCTAATTGTTGGTGATAATATGAATGACATTCGTCTTGGCTATTCTCTCACATTATTCGGGTTAGAGTATGGTGAGATACATGAGACCAAACGTCGAAGTGTGGAGCCAGACCTTTTGAGATTGCGATCTATGACCTTGGCCTGTCATATCTCATATCTCAGCTTAATCGTTGTTCAAACTTTAAGCTTATTGTTTCGGCTGAATATTTGAGCTCGGGGTTTGCCCTGGAGCTCTATCAAGTCAGATCTTCCAGAATTTCGAGAACGGTAGTACACCCGAGGAAGCATACCGCTTTGGGAGAGTGAAATCGCAGTAGGCAAGTTCCCAATTTCGACGTGAGCTGTTTTGGAGAGGATGTTATAACTCGGAGAAGCTATAATAACAGCTGCTGGGTGGTATACCATCCCAATTGGGCGATACTCAGGTTGGGTTTTACTCTATCAAGAAGGCAAGACGCAACGCTAGATGATATTTCTTTGGATAACTATATATGCCGATGTCCAAGATCTAAATATCTTGCAGAATATGGCCTTTGAGAATCTGGAACACCTCATGCCCGAGTTTGTGTATTCTGCAACGGGCCTTATCATACCACACCGAGCACAGAATGGCTTCATGCTTCCCATGAACTGACGCCATTGACTACGCTTGATACGCTCTGTCGACTAAGTCTCGCACGGCATTCCCCAACTCCGTGATGACCGGACCGGACCGAGGAATGATGTGACCCCGTCCAGTGTCGAACATCGCTGCGGTATCAGGGTCACAAATGTTGAATAAGGCTAGTGCACCGTATCGGTAGGGGTCTGCGACAAAGATATATAGTGAGTATATCGTATAAGCAGGGGCAATAGATATCAAGATCAAGATTACCATCTGCACCAACCACATGAAGTGTGGGAATGTCCACAGTATAGTCGCTCTCATCTGCCAGGACCATGTCATCCTCAGGGGAGAGAGGAGGCCAGCCGGTAAAGAAAACCGCGCATTTGATGCGACGAGGACGCCCGAATTTCTGAGCCTTTCTGTGCTCATCCAGGATTAGACTCGCAGCCATCGTAGCACCCTCACTGTATCCGAGGATCCCTTCGATATCGGGATTCTTCTCCAGTGTATCATAAAGGTACTCCATGACTTGACGGTGATTGTTCCAATGGCCATCCCAGTCCTTGCCCAAGGCTCTCATTGCGTCTTCGGGACACGACCCTTGCGGAGACTTTCGAACACGAGAGATCATTGAGCCCTCTGCTACTCCTCCATCCTCCAACCACCGATAATGCGGCCCGATACCAAAATACTCCGCGAACCCTAGGAGAGAAAATCGGATTATCGGTTTTTATTACCTAGGTAGTGTTTGGGCTCGGACGGACCGTACCTGTCGGAGGAGACACAGCAACAGGACCGTTGATATAGTGGAAGGAAGCGAAACCGTCCACGGCCATCTGCTTCACCAGTGGATCTGCAACATTGTCAGTGCATTGTCATCTCTAGTCCTCAACTCTAGATGATACTTGCCAAGCTGGATATTAATATTCTGGGATAGAAAAGTCAGTATGGATGTTCATGAAGGTGTCTCCTATCACCTACATCGATGTTGCCAATGGCGCCATGAAGACATAAGAACCTCATCTTGGATCGACCTGCAAATATCTATGAAGGAATGTATAGTCTGAACCTGTGTACTTGAAGAAAAAGGGGGGGTGACAAGGAAATATAGAAATCAAAATACTAGGAAACAAATTACCGCTCGGGCTGTACAAGTGGTGTAAAGCAAATGAAACATTCCAATTGTTGAGACATTCGAAAAGCACGGCATTTCCGCCGAGCATCAACTTGCTAACTACAGACATTGAGCGATTTCTATATCGAATAATGTGGGACGGTACAACATTTCAGTCCAAAGTCGCCAATTCGGGAATAACCACCGATCACCCAATACTAGCAGAGCACCGATGGCCCGGAGCAGAGACAGCTTCATTGAGCTGTACGCCCCCAAAATGGCCCGCATTAGAAGAGCTGGGGTGGGGTCCAATTTGCAACGCTATATAACCCACGATAGCCACCTAGGCAGTCGTTTCCCCCAATTTCCCCGATGTCTATGTGACCCCCAGAAATCCTTCAGACTCGCGTTACAATTGCACCTTCTGCACTTTTCACCATGACAAACATGAACGGTGCTGATGAAGGTGCGTCTCCTGGCGAGAACGGCGTGCCGCAGCCTATCGCCATCATCGGGTATGCCTGCCGGCTGCCGGGGCAAGTTACATCTCCCAGTGACCTATGGGAACTATGTACCCGAGCTCGAAGTGGCTGGTCGCCCATCCCCAAAGACCGTTTCTCCGTCGAAGCCTTCCACCACCCTAACCCCTCCAAGGTTGGTTCCTTTAACCCAAAGGGAGGCTACTTCCTCGACGAGGACATTGCACGCTTTGATGCTCCCTTCTTCAACCTCACCGTCCAAGAAGCTACATCCATGGACCCTCAACAGCGCTTGCTGTTGGAGTGCACGTATGAAGCTTTAGAGAGTGCTGGCATTCCCAAAGAGAGTCTTGCCGGCCGGAACGTGGGCGTCTTTGCCGGTGGTAATTTCTCTGATTATGAGCTCAATAACGTCCGCGACGTGGAGACCATCCCCATGCACCAAGCCACGGGCTGTGCGGCCTCACTGCAATCCAACCGTATCTCATACTTCTTCGATCTACGAGGGCCCAGTATCACAGTGGACACGGCTTGTTCTTCCTCGCTTGTTGCACTCCACTATGCAGTACAGAGCCTGCGAAGTGGGGAGTCCAAGGAAGCCCTCGTGGCTGGTTGTCGTCTTAGCCTTGTTCCGGATATTTGGGTTTCTATGTCCATGTCACAGTCAGTATTTCCGTGTTCCCCAAGTCAAGTCCGGGACCATATGATCTGAATACCCGGAGGTATATAGGTTATTTAATGATGAGGGCAAAACCTTCTCCTTCGATGAGAGAGCCACGTCCGGTTTTGCCCGAGGCGAAGGCTCTGGTGTGGTAATTCTGAAACCCCTCGACGCCGCTTTGCGCGACAAAGACCCCGTCCGAGCTGTCATTGTACATTCAGGAGTCAATCAAGATGGGCGAACACAAGGGATTACACTGCCGAATGGTCAGGCCCAGGAAGAACTAATACGGCGGGTCTACGAAGAGGCCAATATCAGCCCGGACGAATGCGGGTTTGTAGAAATGCATGGAACTGGAACAAAGGCCGGCGATCCCATCGAAGCTGCAGCAGTCCATGCGGCACTTGGAAAGAATCGGACTCCGAGGAACCCGCTTTACATCGGATCAGTCAAATCCAACATTGGGCACCTGGAGGGTGCCAGTGGTATAATTGCCATCATTAAGGCAGCCATGATGCTTGATCGAGAATTGATGCTTCCGAACGCCGAGTTCAAGAAACCGAATTCTAATATACCTATGAGCGAGTGGAATATGAAAGTGCTAATGACGACGCGACCCTGGCCTTCTCGCAAGAAATACCTGAGCGTTTCTAATTACGGGTTTGGAGGAACCAATGCACATGCTGTTCTTGAGAGGGCGCCGCTATCATCGAAAGCTCCGGATGAAGCTGTTGAGGATGTCGAGGTGGACCCCAAACGAAAGCTGTTCTTGATCTCTGCCAACGACAAGGAGTCTCTACGCACTAGGATCAAAGACTACGGTATCTACTTCGAACAACATCCCGAAGTCTTTGAAAAGTCTCTATTCGGAAACTTTGCTTATACGCTAGGCAATAAGATGTCCCAACTCCCATACCGTATTGGCGTGTCAGCTACCTCGCTAGATGACCTTGGAATCCGTCTTGCTCAACTGAAGATCAACCCTTCCCGGGTTCTAGGCACCCCGACTGTTTCGTTCGTCTTCACTGGTCAAGGGGCTCAATGGGCACAGATGGGTGTTCCTCTTATGCATGAATACCCTGTCTACGAGTTGGCTATGAAACGAGCCGATCAATGCCTACGAGATCTCGGCGCTAAATTCTCCCTTATCGAAGAGCTGAAAAAGGACGCCGCCACCTCTGAGATTGACTCCTCCCATCTGAGTCAACCGGCCTGCACAGCACTTCAGATTGCATTAGTCAATCTCCTGGAATCTTGGGGGATCCATCCTTCTTCAGTCATTGGTCACAGTTCTGGAGAAATTAGTGCAGCCTACGCTGCGGGGATTTATAACTTGGAGGGAGCTATGGCTCTGGCATACTGGCGTGGGCAAATGACCTCATTGCTCAAGTCGTCGTTCCCGTCCCTCAAGGGCACCATGATTGCTATTGGCACTAGTCGCGAGGCTATTCAACCGATGTTGAAGACCCTCTCTGGATACGCCACCGTCGCTTGCGTGAACAGTCCATCCAGTGTGACGGTGTCGGGAGACGTGTCCGCAATTAATGAACTCGAAAAGGTTCTCCAAGACAAGCAACTTTTCAACCGAAAATTGAAGATTGATGTTGCCTACCATTCCGACCACATGAAGAAGGTTGCCGAGGTTTACCTGGCTGCGATTAAGACTATTCATCATTTCCCATCGGCAACGGCCTCATTCTTTTCTTCTGTATTTGGGCGCTTCGCAGAACCTTCTGAACTTGGTCCAGAATACTGGATTGCGAACCTGACATCACCGGTGTTGTTCTCTGACGCCCTTGGCAAGATTGTTTCGAACGATGAGACACGGCCCAACCTTCTCGTTGAAATTGGTCCACACTCTACAACGAAGGGCCCCATCATGGATACTCTAAAGAGCTTGGGTCCCACCGTCTCCAAGATTGCATATGCACCAACCATTCTTCGTAAAGTTGACGCAGCTGAGTCGATCTTAGATACCGCTGCTGCTGCCTATGTGCGAGGTGCCACACTCGATATGACAGGAGTCAATTTTCCCAAGACTAGTGCAGCAAACCGTTGGTTTTTGACTAACTTGCCTCGCTACCCTTGGCAACATGGGACTCGGTACTGGCACGTTGCCCGTATTTCTCAGAAGCATGCGGTCAGAGATCATGCCAGGAACGACGTCTTGGGGGTGTTGGCAAATTATTCAAATGATCTGGAGCCAACATGGCGGAATATCATTCGTTTAGATGAGGTGCCCTATCTCCGGGACCACAAGATGCAGGGAATGGTCGTCTACCCCCTGGCCGGCTATGTAAGTCTACTGAAGGATCAAATACCTAAATTATGTTTACCGACTGTCCAATAGTTGGTGATGGCCATTGAAGCCGCTCGACGACGCGCCGAGCAAGATGGTATCCAAATCTCCCAATTTGAACTGAGGGAGGTCATTGTGGGTTCGGCGCTTGTGCTCAGCGATGACACCGATACAGAGACCACCATTACTCTCCGCCCCTACACTGAAGGTACCCGTGGGTCTTCCGATCTTTGGGATGAGTTCCGTGTCTGTTCATGGACCTCAAAACGAGGGTGGACAGAGCACTGTACTGGGCAGGTGCAGGTTTGCTCCAATCCGAAACAGCAGGCGGCTGCGATCTCGAGCCCGTTCGAGACTCAAATCACTTACACAAAAGGTCGAATTGCCCGAATTCAGGAATCGGCTACTAATTACCTGGATATGTCCCACATGTACCAGGTTCTTAGTGATCTAGGAGCTGGCTATGGTCCTATCTTCCAGGATATTGATAACTGCTACTCCAGCCCTAACCACTCGTTTGGCGATCTGCACGTTAGAGACACCCGCAGTGTCATGCCGAAGGGATTTGAACCTCCCTTGACTGTTCACCCATCGTTCCTCGATGGACTGTTACATTTTGCTTGGCCGCTCCTTGGGCAGGGATTGGGCCGAATGGATCTGGACACACTCTACATGCCGACAATGATCAAGCGTATTACAGTCGGTCTCGACGTTCCAACCACTCCTGGTGGATATCTCAAAGCTTACTGCAGTGGCAGTCCCAGCTTGCCTTCCCCTGAGCCGACCAAATTTGACCTATTTGCCACCCAAGAGGGCTCCACAGAGCCCATAATTACAATAAATGGTCTGATAATGACTCCCCTCAGAAATCCAGGCATTCACCGTGAAGACACCCGCAAGCTGTGCTATAAGATTGATTGGCATCCCTTGGCGGAGATTGAAAACAACGTTGAAGGAGATGCTCAAGATTGCAATGGCCTCGCAGAATCTCATGGCCATACTTACACGCACGGCAACGCAAACATGAATGGAAATACAGAGCAGACAGGCAAACTGCGTGCAAATGGAAATCCTATCAAACAAAAGCATGATCTATTCATCGCCCATTTTGGCAAAGCTGATGGTATCGCTGATAAATTAAGCATTACACTGTCTGAGGCACCTGGGTGGCAGGTTTCCGTCGGAACCTTCGGTGAAATGGACTTCTCTCAAAAGCATCTTGTTCTACTCCAGACTGGAGCTAGCTCTCTGCGATACCTCACCGAGAATGTATTCGAGGAGCTCAAGAAGGCGCTGCTCAATGCTAAAGCTGTGCTCTGGGTCTACCGGACCGATTCTCCCGATGCTCAAATGACGGTCGGCCTGGCTCGCAGCTTGCGCTCGGAGACCTTGGCCAGGATAGCTACTCTTGGATTGGCTCCTGGGGACATGGGATATCCTGAGAAGCCTGTTCAGGCAGCCATTAGTGCTCTATGGCCCACTGATGGAACCGATCTCTCAAAGGATCTCGAGTTCAAGAGTAAAGGCTCAGAGCTCTTTGTCCAACGCGTAGTGGAAGATGCTGCTGCTAATAGTTTCGTCCACAATGAGACTCACGAGATGACAATCTCAACACAACCATTCAGTCAGCCTGGGCGACGCTTCAAGATACAGATCGGCAATCCAGGTTCTCTCGATTCCCTCTACTTTGTAGACGACAATCCCCTACCACTAGGTGAGGGCCAGATCGAGCTTCAGGTCAAAGCAAGCGGTCTCAACTTCAAAGACATTGTGGTCTCTATGGGCCAGCTTGCACAGCCGTATATTGGAATTGAATGCAGTGGCATTGTTTCCAGTGTAGGATCAAATGTGAAGAATTTCAAGGTTGGCCAAAGAGTTATGGCTATGCCAGAGGGTTGTTTCTCGACCTACGCACGATGCTCGTCAACCAGTGCTGCGGAAATCCCAGGTGACATGTCATTCGAGGTGGCAGCCACAGTGCCAGTTGTATTCTGTACTGCATACTACTCTCTGTTTGACCTAGGTCAGCTGCAAGCTGGCGAGCGAGTTTTAATCCACGCCGGTGCCGGTGGTGTTGGTCAAGCCGCTATAATGCTAGCACATATGATCGGCGCAGATATCTTTGTTACAATCGGAAGCCTCGATAAGAAACAGTTCTTAAAGAGCCAGTACGGTATTCCCGAAGACCGCATCTTCTATAGTCGTGATGCATCTTTTGCTCGCGGCATCCGCAGAGCCACCGGTGAGGTTGGCGTGGATGTCATTGTCAACTCCCTAGCAGGCGATCTTCTGCGCGAGACTTGGGAGTGCCTTGCGCCATTCGGACGATTTATCGAGATTGGCAAGGCCGATATAACGAAGAATACTCGCCTTGACATGCAGCCTTTTGAACACAACGTCACATTCTCATCGGTTGATCTGACCAGGGTTGGGAAGTTCAAGCCACAGCTGATGAAACGCCTCCTGAGTGACGTTTGTCGGTTGATTGGTGAAGGATCGGTGCATCCCATCCTACCACTTTCGACTTATCGAATTTCTGATATCGAGAAGGCATTCCGTACTCTACAGACCGGCAAGAGTATGGGTAAGATTGTGGTGGTTCCCCATGGAGGTGACCAAGTCAAGGTAACCAAAAATACATTATCCGCAATTATATATTCAAATCTAATGGTTCATTTTTCAGGCTGTCGCTCCCAAGACCAGTTCCACTCTCTTGCGACCTGATGCATCTTACATCTTGATCGGTGGCACTGGTGGTCTAGGCCGAAGCATAGCCAAGTGGATGTCCTCGAAGGGTGCAAAGAACATTGTTCTTGTGTCTCGTCGAGCGGCGACTAATGACAAGGTTCAAGCTTTGGTTGATACTTTAGCTCCCCTAGGAGTGCGGATTGTCATCAAGGCTTGTGATGTCACCAGCCAGGAGTCTGTCGAGGCTCTGCTTAACGAAGAGATGGAAGGCCTTCCCCCTGTACGTGGTGTTATCCACGGTGCGATGGTGCTTCGTGTAAGTTTACGATAAGAGCCCGTTTACATTACTATTCTCAATTACTGACCTTACTTAGGACATGCTCTTCGAAAACATGTCTCTAGAAGACTTCACGGCCGTAGCACGCAGCAAGGTAGAAGGGGCTTGGAATCTTCATAACACGCTGATCAATTCCCCACTAGATTTCTTCATTGCCCTCTCATCGGTGGCCGGCATCATCGGCAATCGTGGACAGGCAGCATACTCCGCGGCAAATTCATTCCTGGATGGATTCATAGAATATCGCAGATCCCTTGGTCTTCCAGGAACATCAATCGACCTAGCTGCAGTAAGTGACGTCGGTTACCTAGCCGATACCGACACCCAGCGGCGCCAGGAAGTATTGAAGAATATCGGCAGCCAGACTATTGACGAGTCGGAAGTCCTCGCGCTGGTAGCCGCGGCTCTGACCGGTGATCTCGACCAGTCTTGCTCTGGGCAGTGCATCACAGGACTGCGACTGGATTCCCTCGACAACAACTTTTGGGCTCAGGACGCGAGGTTTAGCGTGCTATATCAGGCCACCAAGGGCACACTAGGGAGCAGCTCACAGCACAACGGCCCGTCTGTGCCGCTGCATGTCACCCTATCGGCTGCCTCATCTAAAGAGGAGGCTTTGAGAGTGTGCTACGAGGCGCTGGCCGCGAAGTTAGCCCAGGTTCTTGTTCTCTCCTTGGAGGATATGGATCCCTCGATTTCAGTGGTTTCGTTGGGTCTTGACTCGCTGGTGGCTATTGAGATCCGCAACTGGATTGCCCGTGAGGCTAATGCCAATGTGCAAGTTCTGGAGTTGTTGTCCGGTGGCAGTTTGATGGCCTTGGCTGAGATTATCCTCAACAAATCTCAGGCCTATACTCACACTGAGTAAGAGATAGGATTCGCCTTGTTTCTAGTAAAATACCACTGTTTGATTTTGAAATCCACTGTAAGTTTTATTGTCACCGTGTTCTGGTATGTATGTAAGGAATGCCAGTAAGTTACATTACTCCGTACTCTCCTTCTTCACCCTAGTTGCGAACAGGTCGAAATTGTCGCAACGGTCGGAATTGAGTTCGCGACAATAACCTAATTACTAGTTAATAAGTAACGTATTTCACTAGCGAGCTGCGCACACGGGCGAGCTGCGCAGCCCAGAACACATAGTAAAAGCGATAAATTACAACATGATATTTCAACGACGGTTGTCTATATGAGCTTTTCCTGGTAGCCTAATGCTTTTTATGTGATATCTAACCACTTGTTAGAGTTTAGGGGAATTTAATAAATTTGTGACTGAGATATATATATTTCCGGAGTTAGGCGATGTATTTTTCGATACTATAACAATGCAAGTTCTCGATTTATCCAAAATTGGTACATGATACTAAAAATGCTTATCAATTGCTATCGGCGAGTAACTAAATTAAATAAAAGCGTTGGCTGTTGAAATATCATGTTGTAATTTATCGCTTTTACTATGTGTTCTGGGCTGCGCAGCTCGCCCATGTGCGCAGCTCGCTAGTGAAATACGTTAGTAAAAAATCTGCTTAATAGTATCTTACCTATACTGTTCTCGGCATCTTTATATGGTTCGCACGGGACCTAACGAGGCCTTAACTAGTACTATAGTACCGGACTAAGGGTCTAGTACTGCCGTAGTACTAGTACTATAGTACGATAAATAGTGTAAACACGACTAAACTCGTGACTAGACCTCATTAAAAACATTTAGAGGGCGGGTAACGACCAGCCCTCTCCCGACTAGGCCTTGACAAGTACTGCAGTACTATAAACAGTGCAAACACTAATTATACTAAAAATACAGCGTATTAGGCGGGTAAAATACTATACTACTTAGCAGTTATGCCTATAAACGCGTGTTTTCTTATTATTTAAATGATTCTATATAGTATTCTTACTTAGTGTTATAAGAAAACGCGTGAAAAAACGCGTTGTTAGTATATTTTAAAAGAAAGTACGGAAAATTTAAGTGGTGTAGAATCTGAAGTTTAAAATATA